TCTATTAAGAAAATTAAGGTAATCCAATTTTGCATTCCAAACTTTCCTCTGACCTTGTTCAACCAACATCTTTAACATACTGTTATTAACGCTCCTTAAATATTGCACTTACCTCAAACTGCTGTGAGCCTCGTGGTACAGTGGTTAAACCGCTGTACTACAGCCAAAACTGTGCTCACGACCTGGGGTTCAAATCCCAGGTAGCCAGCTCAAGGTTGACTCAGCCTTCCATCCTTCCGAGGTCGGTAAAATGAGTAACCAGCTTGCGGGGGGGGGCAATGTGTAGCCCGCATAATTAACTTGTAAACAGCCCAGAGAGTGCTTGAAGCACTATGGGGCAGTATATAAGCAGCATGCTTTTGCTTTTTTTTTTTTTACCTTAAAAGCCCTCAGAATTGCTGTAAGGGGAATGCAACTTGATGGCACAGAACACAAATATTTACCAACAGATTTATTTCTTTAATGATTCCAACGTTTCCAAAAAACAGGGCAGACAGGCAGGCATTCAGAGGTAGAGGAACACACTTAAGATGCCAAACAAATGCTGCAACTGTGCGTATTACAATTTAGCAGAGAATTGCAAATTATATGCAGCCCTTAGCCTAGAAATAGAAGAAATGGATCACCCTGACTGATCAACTGACTGAAAGTAACATTTCACATACAAAACCATACTTTCCACAGCAAAGGCTTCTTTCCAATGTTCAAATCTGGATTGGCTTAGTTGGTTAATTTAATGGGAGAAAATGGCTCAGGTTTTAATTGTCATAACAACTACACAAAAAAGATCTCTAAATGTGAGAACTGGGGTAGTGGAAACCTGCTATGACTTTCTTAGACAGTGACATGGTGTCGATAGAAAGGACTTCAACCTGGAAGATTCTGAAGCAGTTCAAGATGGAAAATTCAACAAAACTGAAACATCCTAATTTTAAATAAGCTATTATTCATACAGAGAAAAGGTGAACAAATTCCATATGCACCCTATATATTGGAAGTTCTCCCTATCTTGTTTTTTTAAAAAGTGATCAAAAAGGCCCCTTATGCCCTCTACAAGTCACAGTAGCATAACTTTTTCCAATTACTTCCAACAAGCTAGCGGGTCTATAATCAGCTGGATTTTAGAGATCAATACAGCACAATTTATTATAGCATGCTTACAAGAATGAAGCAAATATTGTTACTAAAAATCCTTGATACACTGGGCAAAATAAAAACTCTCCCAGACGTTGCATTATTTTAGCAGGCTATCTGTGACCTAATCTTGTAATTGGTTCTCTTACTAAAGTATTTCTGACTATTGCTCCAATAGTGACGGATAATCTTGATAACTTTTCGTATGATCACCAATATACCATTCTTGAGCAAGGTGATTGAGAGGGTGGTGGCCATTCAGCTGCAGACATACCTGGAGGCGCAAAAGTGCCTTGACCCGTTCAAGTCTGGATTTAGGCCATGGCGAGTTACTGAGATGACACTGGTTGCTCTGCAGGATGACCTTTAAAGGGAGGCTGACAGGTGGATGCACCCTGTTGGTACTCCATGATCTCTCAGCAGCTTTTGATACCACTGACCACAGTATCCTTCTGGACTGGCTCTTGGAGGTTGGCATCCGGGCCCAGCATTGAGCTGGCTCTGATCATTCCTTGAGGACCGTGTCCAGAGAGTCCAGCTAGGGGAAGAGGTGTCAGTCCTTTGGACTCAAAGGTATGAGGTTCCCCAGGGGTTGCCATTATCCCCAATGTTGTTTAACATTTACGCAAAGCCGTTGGGAGAGGTCATCAGGAGTTTTGGAGTAAGGTATAATCAGTACGCTGATGACATGCAATGGATGCCGTCCAGACGTTTGAGGGCTGCCTGGCTTACTGGAATGGACCGGGGCCTATCAGGCTCAAACTGAACCCGGACAAGACAGAGATTTGTGGATGCCGTCCAGACGTTTGAGGGGTGCCTGGCTTACTGGAATGGACCGGGCCTATCAGGCTCAAACTGAACCCAGACAAGACTGAGATTTGTTCCCAGAGGGGGGACCCTTAAAGGTTGGGGTGAATTGTCTCTAGGCTGGATGACATGGTCCTCCTGTTTAGGGACCAAGTGCGTACTCTGGGCGTTCTTCTGGACACAGCTCTTTCTTCATTGTCCCAGATAGCAGCCGTGTCCAGATCAGCCTTTAACCAGTTTAGGTTATTGGGGTGAATTTTCTGTAGGCTGGATGACATGGTCCTCCTGTTTAGGGAGCAAGTGCGTAATTTGGGCGTTCTTCTGGACATAGCTCTTTCTTCAGTGTCCCAGATAGCAGCCGTGTCCAGATAAGCTTTTAACCAGTTTAGGTTAATCGCCCAACTCCACCCTTACCTAGACAAGGACTTCCTGAGAACCTTGGTGCAGGCCTTAGTCATATCCTGGATTGACTACTGCAATGCCCTCTACGTGGGGCTTCCCTTGGGCCTTGGTGTGGCAGCCAGACTAATGGTGGGTGTGAGCAAATTTGACCACATCACCCTGGTTCTGGCTTGCCTTCACTGGTTGCCCATTGTGACCCAGATCAGGTTCAATGTTTTGACACTCATGTACAAAGCCCTCCACGGTGTGGCAGCCAGACTGGTGGTGGGTGTGAGCAAATTTGACCACATCACCCTGGTTCTGGCTTGCCTTCACTGGTTGCCCATTGTGTCCCAGATCAGGTTCAATGTTTTGACACTCATGTACAAAGCCCTCCACTGTTTGGGCCCATGTTATTTGTTGGAGAGTCTTTCCTTGTTGTCATCTGCCCGACCCACAAGATCATCTATCAAGGTTCCTCTGGGTAGCCACCCCAACGGAGGCCCGTAAGTCTTCTATAAGAGGTAGAGCCTTCTCTGTGGTGGCTCCAAACCTGTGGAATCAGCTTCTGGAGGAACTCTGCCTAGGCCCCTCCCTGTTGACAGGAGGCAATATATATACTATAAATAAATAAAATTTCTTTTTCAGTAGTTGTGGGGCATGGTAATCTTTCAAAAAGAAGTCAATTTCGCACAAAGCAACCTTCTGACAAAAGTTAAAGCACTTCCCATACTGAACCTTGAGCTTTCTAGGAGCAAAGGTCACAACTTGCACTCCTAGTGCTCCATGGAGATTATAATGTCATCATTATGGTAGTATACTTTCCCCAAATTGAGAGCCTTCCCTCCACAAGTACTTTCTGTCAGAATGCAATTAAGGCTGGTGGATTAAATCAAGGGTCCAATGTGTCTACAACCTTTACTGACCACCTGATTTGCCCGTTCACTAGAGCCTGTGCAATTTCTATTTAATGAAGCCTACTATTATTCCTATTTTCTTTTTGTCATCAGATCACTTCGTTCTCTAACTGGGGGAGCTCCAATAACCACACAGCCCTCTACATTTTCCCCTGTAGTAATTTCTGCCCATCTGAAAATGCCTCAGAATTCCCTTTGAAAATATTTAAATGTACCAGCTGTTAAAACTATAGTCCCAACTGACTTATTCTGTAGTCCTCTGAAATCTCTCTAAGGCAATACAGAACCCAGACAAGATGGAGCATCTTCTTGGGCCAGGCACATTTTCCTTTCCAACTGGGCCAAAGCAAAGTGAGGGCTCAGGAGGTGCAAGTGCACATTCAGCTGGGGACTTAGAGCAAAAGAGGCTCTCTGCATCCTAGCACAGTTGCGTGAGATACAGTACAGGGGGTCTTGAAGCATGAACCACCCTCACTACACGGGGACTTATAGCAAAAGAGGCTCTCTGCATCCCAACACAGTTGCGTGAGATATAGGTCTTGAAGCATGAACCACCCTCACTACACTGTAAGCAAGCACCATTTGTGACAACAGCATTATTGATCACAGGGCATGCCAGCTGTTAAGGTACCAGCCTCCATTTCCAATTTCATGGCCTTGTAGAGTTTGAGTCAACATGATTACTTCAAACATGATTACAAAAAATTACTTCTAACCTCAATCTGTCAAGTTTGAAAATGCATCGGAGCTGCAGTTTCTACAATTTAATACCTCACGATCTTAACAAAAAAACAGGCTAGTTCTTTAGCAGGTTGATTTCCTTTCTACACTTTCAGAACAGACTGGCTTGCCGACATATTCCATATATAGCATTTTAGCCAAGTCTGTGGTAAGTGTTTTGTAGGGTTTTTTACACACATGCTTCATCCTGATAACACAGGTGTCTAACTATTGTCTTTTGAGAGCTTATATGATGTCGTGGTGGCAAAAGGACTCAACAGTGAATAGGAGCATTGACTAGAACTCAGACAACCTCACTTTCCCCCATAAAATTCACTCTGTGATCTTGGGCTGTGAGGATGAAATAAGGAAGAAAAGAAACAACTCACTCAAGGGCCGGCAAATAAAATGGATAAAAACAACATCCAGAAAATTTTGTTCTGCTTAGCCCTATTCAAGTCTCGCAAGTGTTTGTATGGTAAATTAAGAAATAAAAAGGACTTTCCTTTATAATGTGATTTTTAAAGAAAAATTAAAGCAGTAGTCACATGACCTTATACCTAGTGTCTCAGAATAGAAATAGATTTGAGCAGTCATTGGCTTGAAAAGGGGATATTCTTTCATATTTGATACATAGATTATCCAGGAAAGAAGCCCATTTTCAGAGCCAGTAATGTAGCAATTTGTTGCAGCAATAGTCCCACAGGACAGGTTAATGACTTAATCTTCAGTCTCCAACAAAGATAATTTCTTAGGGGCTCAAGCAGGAACGTGATTTTTGCAGATATCTTCATACACACTGGAGCTGAATGGTAACATTTGGGCCATCAATTATTATTTATTATTACTTATTACTAATGATGCTCATAGTGTAAAGGTTCTTTCCTTCCATCAAATCAGAATTTTTGGTGGAAGGAATAAACTATTATAGTCAAAATGTTGCATGCATGAAACAAAAACAGAAAAGGAGAGCAATAGAAAAAAGTGTAGAGGGTGCAGTGGACAAAAAAGCTTTTGAAATAAAGACCATACACTTCATAATTTTAAATTTCATGTCCAGGCTAACCTATTTTTATTCAATGCAAATTACAGTACCAGTTAACTATTTCTGAACCAAGTCACACAGAACAAAATGTATTTACAGAGGAGCAGAAGGGAGGAAGTAAAATAATAAAACAGTAAGCATACTTTCCACAAAAAGTTTATATTTAAAATGAAAACGTAATCAGTCACAGAGGCATTCAAGTAGTAATAAATGTTATACATGTTTTGTTTCTTGTTTGAATCAAGACAGCTTTGCATGTGTATGCAACAGTTTGTATACAACCCACAGTCCATTATATATATTTTTTAGATTTCTGCTTTTAAGATGGAAGTGATCGCGCTAATTGTGTGTACAAGCCCAAGTGATCTACCAGCAACATAGTAACAAACGCAAATTTTACAGGCAAGCATATTGTTTATATATATAAAAAGCTGTTTATATATATAAACCGTTTTCCCAAAAAACGAAGAACAAACAACACAATGGAGGAAGATACGTATCTCAAGCTAACTCTTTAGGTACTCATTTTAATATGCTGTTTCATTTTGCTTTTATTGTCTTGCCACCAAATGAAGCAAGAAACTAGCTCCTATAGAATTACTGGGAACTCTAAGGTGCTTTGATGCATCTGGAAAATGTAGGTCCTGGGCTAGATACTGAACTGTGCTTTTCATTACTGGCTTTGACCTAGTGACTGAGATTTCTAAATGAGAAAGAGTTTATTGATAACATTTCTTAAGAAGCATTACTAATCTGGGAACATTTCAAATTATCACTAATTACAGACATCCACCATTACTTGGCTTATTAATAAGAGGAAATATGTTCAAGTATTAGCTAGATGACTTTAGAGCAATCTATGTTGAAAGCCTTTTTTGTTTGTTTTTGTTTAAATGAAAGTCTTTCAAAATTAAGGTAACTAGTGTCTTGACTGACTTTCAGTCTGGGACACAGATAACATCATTAACGCCATCTCAGGGACGTGCACAACTGCAATGCAGACAAAAGGATAGATCAAGAGACCCTACGGTACTTCATTTAAAAACAAGCCACAAAATAAAATTCTGAGTGGACTGTCGGAAACAAAATGGTTATCAACTGACCTTTGTGTCACCAGAAAAAGTGCAGCCTCTGCCTTACTGGAATGAACACAAGAAAAGAAAACAGAACAGCAACCTTTGGTTTGATTAAGAAGTTCAGCATTTTGCCATTGAAGAAAATCTCACGTGGAATACGAACAAGGTCAAACGTACAAGGAGCACATTTTAAAAGCAAGGCTTTTGTGCTGGGCACAAGAAATTAAGGTCAACTTCAACATGACTTCCTTAAGAAAAGAAAACTTAGGGTGGGGTAGGAGGGGGAGGTCATGTGATAATTGGCAATTACGTTCTCCAATAACCCCAATTAATGTCTGGCCAAGAACGCTTGCAAGGCTTCTAGATCTGTAAGATCCAGAACGTTTGTGTGTGATCCCAGTTTCTCCCCAGCCCACCCATCCATTAGAGCTGCTTCTTTTTCATAAAGCCCAATTCTGCCTCTACAGGAACAAAGAGACTAAACCAAAGCGTCTAGAAGCTGTTCTCTCTATGAGAACCGTTGAAAAACGCACTGGGAAAAGACGAGCAAAATGTAAACCCGCCACTTAGACAGCAAGATGGCAAATAGAAAATGAAACCGGTCACTGCTTTTGAAGGGGTGAGGGAAACTTTTAAACATCTACAACAAAGCTATGGTTTGAAATGAAAACAGTTATGGTGCATTTTCTTTTAATTATGCTACTGACCATGAAATAACTGAAAGAAGAGAAGCAAAGATATTTCCATGTGTGAGACATCTGTTATAAAAAGAACAAGGAAAAAAAAGAAAAGAAAAGAAAAAGAAATAAAAATAAAATAAAAATTTAAAAATCATGGAAGCAAAGGCACTCCAAACTATATAGATATACTATACATCACTAGGGTTATTGTTACAATAATACAGGCCGGTTATCTACTGTACAGAGTTAGAACTATATGGCTTTAAAAAGCTCGTCTACATTTTGTCTGATTATTAAAACAAAATAACTGCCCTGAATGGTAACTTTTTGCTCATTAATAGCAGGTTCCTGTGTCCACATTATTTACATACAAAGCAAGAAAACTCAAAACATTAAGAACGAATGTACAAACTTGAATTTGGTGAGGAGCTTTTGTCAGCTTATTTACAAAAATGGTACTGAACACTTGGATCTAGATTTGTATAAAATTTTGCTTGCAGTCCACCATGATCCTTGAGAAAATTGAACCAACAGGATCCCTGTTTTTTTTTTACACACACATGCACGCACACGCATACAAATAATTTTTTAAAAAAAGAATTAAAGCTTTTAATTCTTCTGTCCTGCTAGCTTTAAGCTATTAAAATATGTTATGCGAATCCTAGGATGCCTCCTCTCTTGTGAGCTCAGACTGTCCTGCTATCAAGAAAGCAAAACTAACTCTCGCTATGACTCTGCGTAGTCAAGTGTCTCCTGAGCAATGGTGGTGATGGTCCTGTCTCAAACACGGAGGACGCCTAGTGACTCATTTCATGCAAAAAGAGCCCCTTTCCAGGCCTCTCTTTCGCCACTGGTGGTTTTCCAATAAAAACAGAACAAAGATAAACAAACCCTTCCTTACTGACAACCACACCTTTAACCTAACAGGCCTCACCACCTAAGGAAGGGACTATTAAAACTAGGATGAGGAGGCCCTGACTGCAGGTTGTCCTCAAGCAGCTGCCCCGGCCGACCGGCTACTTGCTCTTTGTGGGTCAAATCAGGTTCCAGGACATTGGCCAACCAACGAAACTCCCATAAGCACCAGGATGACTAAGGTTCATTTGAATGAATGTAAGGCTAGAGAGGCACATCTGTCCAATCCAAGAGGAAGCCGCTCGCCACGACTGGTTCCAGTCTCCCTGCAGCTACAATGGTATCCCTTCTCACTGCCTCACTGGAACTTTTCAAGGAGTATTGCTTTCGCTTCAAAAACAGAGACACCGTTTATCGCGACAGAATAACCCAGAACATGGACACCAGAAACAGGCATTTCTGCTTCAGTCAGACCAATTACAGATTAAAAATTAAAAATAAAAAGCAGCACTGTATCTATGTATATATTTATATTATATATATATAATATGTATATGTATATGTGCATATATACACACACACTTAGCTTTCTATCAGTCAGCAGGAACTAGTAAACTGATCTATCTACTTATTAATATTCTACCATTGTGACAACAGCAACTGCTGAAAATCAATAAATAAAGATTAGAAAGGAAGAACTCGAAAATGGTGACGTTAATTACAAATTCTAGATTTTGCATTCAAAATTACCAGCAAAGTAATGTATCAATTTGAAACCTCTAATTCCCATTGAGATATTATGTCCATTCACATTATAGCAGCTGGAATTCTTTTCCCATTATCATCTTCAATCAAGAAGCCAGTTCAGAGTCTAAAACAGGGTGGGCAGGATGCAGAAGTGCCTTGATGCTGGCTTCCCATCCATTTTCTACACCTGGAGGTTACGTACATCTCCTCCGCTTATTGGAAGAATGCAAATGACTGGCCGTGGCCTCTTTTGTGCTTTACAGATCTTTTAATGTTCAACTCCAGCAACTTTAGGGGAGGCGAATGAGCATCTCACTCAAGAAAACAGTCTGTGTGTGTATATGTAACATACATATCTGCAAAGATTTTCCAATGTGAGAATGAAATTTATGATCAAGATCTGCCCTTTACTCTTCCCAAAGCTTTAGTCACTCAGTAACTCCCTCATGGCTCCCTTTGCAGGCAACCCAACCTATTTTAGCGCTTCACTGTGCCTTTCTTCTCCACCCTAACTCAAAGACAGCAAAGATCAGCTTATGATATTCAAGGCGAGCAACTCCTGCTAAGCTCCTGACCAAATTCAAGTTGTGCACTACACCAAAAGTTGAAACTTCACTTAAAAAATACAAGGCTTAAAAAAGGAGCTTCAGCAGAATAAGGGATTTCTTTCATTTGTTTTGGGAGGGCATGATAGAAGTTCCTGATTCTGAATTATTATATAACAGTAATTTTTGAAATTTGAAGATTGTCACGGGAAGAGACATTGGTGTGTTCTATGGCTCCACTTCCCCTCTTCCCACCCCACCTCTTCCCCTGCCCAAAGAGCCTGCAGAGTGAGCAAACAATGAAACTGGCTTGTATCTATATTTTACAAGGTTAAATAAGAACAACAATAATAATAATAATAATAAAAAATTGAACACTATAATGGACAGTTTTTCCCCCTCTTTTTACATTTTCTTTCCAAATGTGACCAGTGTTGCTGAGCGAGACTCAAAATTACTGGCGATTGTTCCTGTACAGGCTACTGCTCATGACCAGTTCAGGTGGAGTTGGAGGCTGATGCTGAAGCTACGTTATTGGTCTGAACGCGATCTCCGGCATTAGCATCTGCAAACATCAGAAGGAAAACAATGACACAGGTTACATAAAGAAAATGTCCCGCTCTGTGGACAGGCCTCTCTTTGTCCTCTCTTGGCCCAGCTGGGGGAATCTGGGAATTATGCAATAGGTAGCTAGAAATTTTGCACCTCTGATGAAGAGTCCTGCTTGTCACCAGAATACATAGTTCAGACCTCATGTTTCAGCCACAGCTGGACCTGCCCCACAGGTCATGGCTAATGGGATAGCAATGAGAATGTCTCATCAGAAGCATGACGTTTGTCCAAATGATGCGTGCAATGCTATGAGCACTACACATACCATCACTCTTGCCATCTAAACAGGTCTGAAGTAATTTTATGGCTACTAATCTTTGCCTCTTTATTATTTGCCTTTTAAAAAAAACTTCTGATGCTTTTTGGAGTAACCTTCAGCCCAAAGAAACATATAGCTCCACAAGTGCAATAGCTTACAGTCGACCCTTATCTCCTCCTTCCTTTTATCCTCCTTCTGTTCAAATCTGCAAGGTAAGCTCCTTAGGACTGGCTGCCTTTTTTGCTTCAATGTCACTGTGTGCAGAAGGAACCATGACCGTGACTTGCTGACTAGACTCAGGGGAAGAAGAGAATAAAGTAGGTGGCAAAAGCAAGAAATGGTGGGTCCTTTGAAAGATCTTGGAACCGCAAGTCCTGCTGGAACCGAGCAGGGGGAAATAAAGATGGAGAAATCACCCAAAAGAGCCATGCCAAAAGGAAAATAAGGCGGGGATCATGGAGGTGGGTGTGCATGCACAGAAACACCTCCTTTTGTGCAATAAGCAGAAAATGAACCCTCGGAGGCACAGAAACGGAACAAGGAAAAATCTCAAATGCCTAAATGATCTCCTGAAGTCAGAGGTAATTGGTGAGGAAGCCCAGTTTGTAAAAGAGGCCAAAATACTGATGGCAGTAAAATCCAAGCATACTGAAATGATCCAAAAACATGCCTCTAAAGAGAGAGAATAATCAACAGAGCAACAACAGATCTAAGGTAAAGGTGGTAGATACCCAGTGTAGTGTAGCGGATAGAGTGGTGGGGCAGGACCTGGGAGGCCTGGGCTCAAATCCCCATTCGGCCATGAAAACTCACTGGTCTGCATGGAACTGGTTAAACCTCTCCTTAAATACAGTATCTTACTTACCTTGAAAGTCCTATTAGGGTCACTGTGAAGTCAATTTTGACTGGCTGGCACATAACATGACAAAGGCAGGAGGTATGTGGGCCTCCAGGTGTTACTTGATTCAAAATACTGTATCATTATTCCTGATCACTAGTCATGCTGCCTAGTGGCTCATGTGAATCTAGTGTTATTTGAAAGGCTACAGATTCCCAACTATGATATAAACGGGAGACAACAGGACAAAAAGTATGCCTAGAAAGACACAGATATGTAGCTACATTTGGAATCCTGTTTCAATTCTGTTTATTCAATTAGTTGGACCTCTAGTTCCTAGGAGAAGTCATCAATATGTTGATAACACTCAAGTGTCAGACTCTGTACAAAGGTGGCCACAGGAGGTTCTGTTCATGCAAGGATTCCTGTCACTTCCCACTGCTCAAGGTGTTTGGTGGTGGTGATAAATGACTCCCTGCAGAGGAGGGGGGGGTCAGAGGCACTGGCCTGCAAACCTGACAGCGTATCTTGGAGGTGTGTTTACTCCTTTGTACAAAGAACCAGAATGTGAGAACAAAACTTGTTCAAACTCATCAAGGACTCAACTCTTTCCTTATAATCTACGTGGGAACAAATTGTACGGCTGGAAGTACTAGATGTAACTACGAGAACAATGATCCTTCCCCCTGCCCAACCATTCCTTCCTGTTGAAATTTGTGGCCCAGGAACAGAGACAAGAATGTGAGAAGTGAATAACTGGCCCAACAGACAGTGCCACGGGAACAAATTGTACTGCTGGAAGTACTAGATGTAGCTACGAGAACAATGATCCTTCCCCCCCCCCGCCCAACCATCCTTCCTGTTGAAATTTGTGGCTCAGGAACAGAGACAAGAATGTGAGGAGTGAATAACTGGCCCAACAGACAGTGCCATCACAGAAAGTGTGGCCGGAACTTCCCTGAATGAGAACTCTTAGCAGGAGAGAAGCTTGTACCTCACAAGGATTAGGAAAAATGTTTTTTGCTAGGAGGGGCCAGGAGAGCCTTCTAAGGGATAATACTCCAAAGAACACAAGACTGGGGACAAGAGTTTCAATAATGCTCCAAAAGCTGGGAGGAGAACAAAAAAGACGATTAAGAAAGAAGGTGGAGGGAACAACAGGTGGTTTCTGAAATCTCCGTGACAATGCACAGAGCACAGAAAGCAAGATGAGCTTGAAATCTGAAGGCACAAAAGCAAATATGATTTAGTAGGCATTACTGAAACCAGGTGGAATAAAACTCACAAGGATTCAGGAAAAAGGACTAATGTAAAAGGTACATTCGTATGTAGTAATGGTTCCCAACCTTTTCTGAGTAGTGAATCCCTTTTGTAATAGCCATGTAACCTGCCATTCCCCTCCCATATCTGCATAAAAAGGCCACTGTCGTTCCCAGATGTGGCAGTGCCATTAATGCTGCTGCTGCTTACCTTCCTACTTCTCCTGTTGCCGACTCAGCTACCACCACTTCAACACTGGAAAGGGAACAGGCTGGGGGAAGTTAAAGGTAGGAGGAAGATAAATCAAAAGGCTTCAAAGACAGGCAAAAAGGCAGGACTTCACAATACTCAGGGAGGGGGCAAAACCTTCACGCAGAGGATTTCCCCCCTCAGAAACTGGCATGAAGCTTTCCTTGCACATGCTGCAGAAGAGGGGAGCTGTTTGCTTCGGTATCCACCTGCCAGGGGTTTGTTGCGGAGGGTGGTTCTTATTTTAATTTGTTTAGGCACTCCAGAAGTGACGTTGTCATAGTTAAAACCCCTTTCTTGGGAAAGCAACAGCTATTATATCTTTCTGTTGGCTTTTTTTTTTTTTTTTTGGTAAAAATAGCCCTCATCATCCCCTTCTCAGAAAGTAAAGGTTTCTTTCTCCCCCAAAGGGCCTGTTTATCACACATACACACCAACTTTACTGTACACTCTGAAAGGTCAAAGAAGAAATTACTGAACAAGGGCTACAACGCATAGGTGACCAGTGGGAAACACTGGTGCAGAGAGTGCTTTAGCACTAAGGGGCAGTATAAATCACAAGGATAATAACTTCATTTTCCAGAAGGTGGAAGAAATGACAAGGAGATCAATCTGGAGCTGGTCTTTCATAACAGCAAAAAATTGGTCAAGGAGTTTGAAATAACAGGAATGTGGGTGGAAGTGACCGTGTCCTTAGGATTCATTATACAGAGAAAGAGAAAGCGGAAAGTAGAGTGATGGATCTTTCAGATGAGCTCCAGTTCAAAAGGGGCATGTAGAGGAAATAGAAGAAGAATCATCACAGAATGAGGTAGCCGATATTCAAAGGCTACAGCTCAAAGTAAGTTCACATTTGTAAGAGAGATTAAAGAAACAAGGTGCTTAAGCTTGGAGAAGGATGAAGAACAAGGACATAGTAGGCCTGCTGCGTGGAAAGGATGGAGAAAAGCTATTGGGTGACAGGGAGAAAGCAGAATCACTCAACTATTCCTTTGACTCCCTTCCCCCCCCCCAAAAAAACGAAACAGTGCTAAACTAGCAAGTACAAAATAAAGTAGTGAGGGGCTACCTATCAAGACAGCTACAGAGTGGCACTAGGACAACTACAGTAGCCACTTTAATGGAATTCAAGCGTCTATCGCAGTGTTTCCCAACCTTTCTCAAGTTGCAACACCCTTTTATAATTACCAAGTAACCTGCAACCCACCCCCACATTTGCATAAAAAGGTAGGACCCATACTACTGAATGTGAGAGGGAATTAAGGCAACCCCTCCGGGCAGATGCTGGACGGCACTGTGGCACCCCCTTCGCCAATGCCAATGCCAGCCAGCAGCCCAGGGAGTGGTGTGGTGAAAGTTTACACCTTCCAAAAGAAAAAAGAAAAAGCAGGAGAGGGGGAGTTTATGGCAGTGGCTTGCATGCCAACACTTCCATCTCCTGGCTGGGAATAAATGACATTGAATTTGTGGAGAACAATTGAGGTCCCTGAAGACTCAACGTGGGCAAGTAGTTCCGAGCTGCTACAGTTTGAGTTCTTCACCCTTGGAACGCAGGGCAATCTGCTAGATCAGGGTGGACAAAGTGTAGCCTTCCAAGTATTCGTGGACAGCAAGTGATTAATTGTAAAATAATATTTATGTAAGAATATAACAAGGCATTTGAGCATCTGCAACATGAATTAAAACATGCTAATTTATTATCCATATCTGCAGATGACATGCTGACATCTGTACAAAACAGGAATCCTTCCACACATGTGAACTAGTGTAAAATGTTCCATTATCTTTTTACATTAGAGATTTAAACAAGCTGTCTAGGATGAAAGAGTAGTTTTGCTAAAATGTTTGAAAAGCTTGCAGTAATACAAGAGTAATCCATGAAATATTAGTAGCTGTGTCACAGCAGACTGACTGTTAGGGGAAGATTTTTCCTGAACTATGTAAGATACCGTAGAATGGCCGGTCAAGGGAAGATACTGTGTACCATCACGCACACACACGCACACACGTACGTACATTCTCACCTGAGGCTGCTGGAGCGTTTGTAGGGGTTGAAGCAGCTGCTTGATTCCGAGCATGAGCAGGTATGAGGGTTGAAGCCAGAGATGGATTACTTGACAGTTCTAGAAGAAAATTAAAAAGAGCAATTATAGCTTTCCCTTAGGGAGGCTTTGCCAGCTGGTTCAGTGGATCTCTGTAAGGGTAGCCATGAATGAAGGTTAAAAGTCTGCACAATTCTGGCTTGTACCTCCTTGTGCACTCCTACAAAAAGACAGTTATGTGGCTAGATTTTGTTAAGCACCTATATCATCATGACACTGCCTTCCCAGAAAAACACAACTATCATGTAAATTGGGAATTGCCCACTCAGTTTTCTTCAAGGGACAGTTGTCCTTCTTTGCAATTTATTTTAACTGAAAAAAAAACAAAACGCTTTCTCTGTACATCTGCATACACGGCCAAGTTCTCTCTTTCTGTATTTCCACTTGTCCCTTGTGTGATCTAGTGGATAAGAGCGACAACCAGGATTCAGAAGACATGGGTTCAAGTCTCAGCTCTGACATGGAAACTAACTGGCGGCACCGAACTATTAAAATCACTCCTGAAATATCTCACTTAGCTTGAAAGCCATTATAAGTAAGTTCTGACTTGATGGCACATAACTATTGTTCTGATTTTCATATGGGTGTGTGGCTTTATCTATATATACACACACACACACTCCTTCCTACTTTTGAAATTGTGATGTGATTAAAACAAAACAGCAATTACAATCACATGGGTATCCGTAACAATCTCTGAAGGGAACGTATTACAATTCTTCCCCATTGGATCATAAAGCAGCTGATACTAGACAAAATAACCCTATTTGCCAAGCAACAAAAATGAACCAGCTGATGTAACTGGTGCTTCTTGCACTGGTTTCAGCAAAGTGCAAAAATAGACTAATACAGCCTGACCCTGAGACACTGGGTTTGAAAAGAACATATCGCCAAAATCCTGTCAATCATACCTATATAAGAGCGATGATTTCATGGGGGAGGGCGGGAGATTGCCAGTAAAAGGAGTTCCTGTTTCAATCTCAGGGCTCCCTGACTTAACCACAAATTTCTCATAATCAGTCCCATTGTATGAGAGTTGGGGAACCCTTAAGATTGGAAGTAGGAACTCTTTAATTACTGGAATTCTCTCTCTGCCAATGAGGCCAATATTCTTATGCAACCACAACTACCCAGCAATTTTTGGGCCATTAACTGCTTCCCAATTTCCCATGCCTGCATTCTTAGCCTGTAGGTACTAGGTTCTATGTTCTAGGTATTATCAGCCTGAGAAAAACTACAATAGTCAAACAGCTAAAAATAATACTTGTTTCATTATTAAAACACATTTCACTGAAAGGGATGACATGTACTGTACTATAATTGATTAGTACATAGTTACATTTTTTAGAGTTGTGCGTTCAAAAGTAAAATTCTAGAAGAAAACTGAGTACTTAGCTCTAAGAACTTGAAATCAATAAAACATGATTTATTTTATATTATGTGTGAAAATTCTTGTTAGACAATACTGCCAAATGATCACAGTACTTCACAACTTCAATCTGTATTAAGATGGTCCTTAGAAAGAAAAAAGACTGAGCAGACTGAGTTAGGTTGCCTATTAAAATATGTTTCATGGTGCAATAGAGCAGGGGTAGTCAACCCCCGGTCTGTGTCCCGGTGCCGGTCCGTGGGCTTGCCGTGGATATCCTTGTGGGGGATATATCGCGCTTGCGCGAGGGGCGCATCTTATGCTCGCGGACATGCCCCCTGTGCATGGAGCTCCCTCCCCCCAGCCGGTCCGCAGCCCCAAAACAGTTGGGGACAGCTGCAGTAGAGAGAATAGGCCTGCAGCCACCAGAGTCCAGAGATGCAGTTACTCCAATTACCCCTTTGGCCCTTCCTTCCCAGAAAAGGGAACGATGGGCCATGGGTCTCAGAAGGCTACATTTTAACCCATCTGCACACACATGTATTTCTTGACAGCTGTGGAATCTATTAAATAATGCAGTTAAAAGTGTCGTGTTTAACCTGTTCTTTATTTATCTGTGCCAGTTCCATATAAAGTCTAGAAGGAAGTTGATTCAATTTCAGAAAATTTATCTGAGGATAAATTTGCTTAAACATCCATGTTTGTTAACTTATACGGTTAAACGTAGTATCATTAACAAAACAAAACAAAACAAAATGAGGACTCTCAACTTGGTCCACACAAGAAAAACTTAAAATACTAAAAAACTTTAAATACTAACTATAGATATTCTGGAAAATTGCTATATTGTTTTCTCTTTGTATGATTTCCCTCTTCAACTCTCTAGAATTTTACCTTTTCCCATCCTCCCCCCTTTCTTTTTTTACCCTGCCCCCCCATCTGTACCTTCACCCCTATTCCTATGGAAAATTAATAAAAAACCTGTAAATTAAAAACTTAAAATACTGTCCTCCATAGCTCATTCATCTTCATCTTCTTATTTGTTCATATTCTGGAGAAGAAAAACAAGCTCTCCTGCTTTATTGGGTCCCAAACGGTTTCTCAATTTAGAACGAGTGAGTCCAACAGAAGAGAACATTCTTTCTACACCAAACTACTGGTGTTAAAAGTGAAGCCATTATTTCAACAGTCTCTAAATCCAAGTGCTTAAGTCACTTCTACCAGTTTATTGGTGTGACTTTCCTTAAAATATTATCACCAAACATATTTCTTGACTGGCTCCCCCTTAGTTCTGAAGTTTATTATAGCTGGCATTATAAATGGATGACTGCTGGATATCCGTATCATAGCTAACTCTGCTTCCTCAGCACTTAAGGTTTGACTGTGGGCTGGATAGTGACAATATTTGTGAGGAAATGAGCTGGAGACAGTGCTTGTTCCATTCATTTTTTAATGCTTGTAATTTAATTCTGTGAATATGTAGTTCTGTTTTCACTCAGTACCTTCCAAATTTCAACAGCATCAGCAATAAAGCAGCGATTTTTCTGTGCTTCATTTAAAGCTTCAGAAATCGGTTTCACGATGCTCAGCACATGTTCAACATTTCTCTTCAGCCCAATGTTAAGGATTTTGGCTGTAACAGTGCCATCTATTTTCTGTCAATTTTGTTCAGAAGAGGCCAGTTCCTGATATACAGTGGTGCCCCGCTTGAAGACAATAATCTGTTCCAGGAAAATCGCTGTTAAGCAAAATCATCGTCAAGCGGAAAAAAACCATTGGAATGCATTGAAAACCGGTTAATGCATTCCAATGTGAAAATACCTCATCACCTAGTGAAGATCACCCATAGAGAACCACCGATCAGCTGTTTAAAATCGCTGTCCTCCAAAGCAGGGGTCCGGAAAACAGCCATTTTGCGAAGGGAAACCATTTTGCGGAGCTGGAAAAAGCATTATTTTGCGAACAGACGGTTCGCGAAGCAGGGACCTAATCACCGTAAACCAAAAAAACCCATAGGAACCATCATTTTGTGAACACAATAGCGATCACAAAAAACTCGTCATCAAGTGGGGTCGTCGTCATCGTCAAGTGGGGTACCACTGTACTGCTCAAAACAGTACACTACAGAGTTCCAACTAACATCCTGTAGGGGCATTAGCTTGGTTCTGCCCAATCTTTTCAGAGCTACAGCAGCAAAATGAAGTATTTAGCAATATCAATGAGATTAGTCTTTATTTCTGGAACACAGAAGCCTTTGGACAGGAGGTGCAGCAAATGAACACTGCAACCATATCCCCTTTTCTGCTCTTCTAAATTTCTTCTCATTTTGGATGTATTTGCAGCATTGTCAAACTGTGTACCAGACATTTGAAATGTTTTTCATGTGTTGTTATAGCTTTTGCTGCTACTGCTTGTGAGTATTCTGCAGTGTGTGCATTTCCTGGCAAAAAAATTGTTCCTGCAAAGAAGACAGACTGTATCCTGGTCTTGGTGATTGAACCATATTAATGAACTGTGGTTTTCAACCAGACAAAAAGAAGAGTTTGTCATGTAAACAAACTGGGGATTTTTTAAAAATCAAGTAGTTTTTTTTCCTAATCTGCTGGTTTTTATCACAGATCTATCTATGATGGTTCCTGGATGGTCAGCTTTTCGTCTTTTAGGTGATAGATACACTGTTGATGTGTGATGTATATGATGTGACTGAAACACTGCCCTGGACAGATAACTCTGAAACTGTAGAACAGGATTTCAAAGGTGGATAGTTTCCAGAATCCTTTATGTTGATGACTGATTCCCCTAAACAAAAAAGTAAATGTTTCTGCTTATTTAATATTACTCCTTACGGTATATTCACTGCCATTCTGTACTGCCCCAAAAAGTAATATTTGCACTATTTCAAGTTTTTCTTCATTACAACTTTATTGAAATAATAGTAACATACTGCAATTCTAATGCAGTGGTGCCTCGCATTGCAACGTTAATTCGTTCCAGCAAAATCGCTGCTAAACGAAAACGTCACAATGCGGAAATAAAAAGCCCAAAGAAACACATTAAAACGCGATAAATGCGTTCCTATGGGTTTCAAACTCACCGTTCAGCAAAGATCCTCCATAGCGCGTCCATTTTTGCTGCCTGTTAAGCGAGGAATTCGTCCCAGAAAACAGAAAGCAGCCATTTTGAAACCGCCAATCAGCTGTTAAAAAAGCATTGCTTTGCGATGATCGGTTCCCCAAGCAGGGAACTGATCATGGCAAAGCACCGCCAGCCAGCCAGCCAGCCCCGGACGATGCCCGGCCTCCTTGGCGGGGCTGTCCCGGGGCGCAGACGGGCAGGCCGGAGGGACTTTCTCCGGTGAGCGAGGGCTCGGAGGCAGCGGCCCAGGGCAGGAACGGGCGCGCCACCCAC